GTTCTCTTTCTCTTTCCGCCTTATCATCACAGAAACTTCACTTCCGTTCAGAAAGAATTTTGGCTTTAAAGCGCAAGGTATGTGCACAGTCGAAACGATTCAGGTGATTTCCTTGCAGCACTGAAAGGTGAATTTAAGAATTCAAATCGCCGGGATGAACTGGTTAAACTGTCAAAAAAGTTTGTGATGGTGAATACGGAAGATGACGAAGAACCAGAAAGCGAAAAATATGCGCCGGACGGTGGCTATATACCGCGAATATTCTTTCTCGGCTAGTCGTTTTATGTTTTCTAAGCAAATAAAAAACGTAAATTCTAGAGAATTCCAGGTGTCAAAGCTAGATGGGAAATGACCCCTGTCGTCTTTTTGCAAAAAGTTTAATTGCTAAGTTGAAATTTTGACTTTAACTTTCTTACTTCAGTATTCTCAATAAATTCAGGAAGCTTCATGAAGCACTTGTCAAAATAAAACAAAGTGAATGTTTTGTGAGCTAATTTGAATGTCTTAGAGTCGAGCAGTGAAAGAGCTTCGGAGAAACTTTAGATACTATTCAGTTGTCCTTAGTACAGCTTAAAGTGGAGTCAAAATCATTTCTTTATTGCAAAAAAGCCTTAATGCTTTTAATTTAACGGGAAATTTAACACAGAATGCACTGTCGGCGTACATTTTAAAAGGGTTTAAATTTTTCCATCATTTTTATCTCAAGGAAGCGGACAAGGTTAATCACAAAATTTATAACCTCTGTCCATCTAGTGTAAAATAATTCGTTTAAGATGTGAATGGTGATCTGCTCGACGGAACAGAAAATAAAAATTATCCAAATAACAAGCACTACTTCCCACGTGTTCCGAACATCATCGACACAATGAAATTTGCTTTGGAAGTTTTCCACACAAAATCTGTTATTTTTACTACTGTTTTTAACTTACATTTTGCTTTGCTGCTCTCGCTCACCACTGTTGGTCAACAGGCCATCTCAAATTGTTAGGCCGGAAACCCCTCTACTTCCACGACACACATCCAAGGCCCCATCACTAGGCAGTTTTGCTGTAAGATGCCGTGTCTTCCCCTCAGATATGTAAATCTGAAAGGCATATTACGGATAAATGAGCGTGTGTCCTATCTATAATGTTATGACCTCAGAAACAGGAGGCGGATGAAGGGAGAAAAATATCTTATTTAGCTGTAAATCATAGCATACTTTTCCGGCTGTGCAGCTGGCAACTTTTCCAGTTGCTTTGACCAGTGCTGCAACGTATGACGGTCAGCAGACTGGTGATCGTGACATTTGTCGCGTCTTCCGAAAAGATTACCAACACGGCGGTTCCTTTGACAGAAACAGATGGTCTTAGCTGTTTCAAGATTCCATTGATGCCTGTTTATGTGTTGAGTATCACCACCCTCTTTCGTACGTTGCCAGTCTAGTTTACGATATGGTACCTCAGAATTGTACAGCATGCAGTAGAGGGAAATTAGCCTTTACTTGAATTCCACGATGAAACTGATGAAAGAGCATCAACTTCGATAAGTGTCAAAATTTTATCACTTCAAATTTCTTTTGACTGCATAGCGCTATAGATTTAAAGTACCTTAATTAACACTGAAAATGAAAACGTAGCAAACCGGTTCTATTCAGACGCGCAATTTGCATCATTTCGCTGTCGGAATTTTTTTTTTATTTCCCAAAAAAACGAAGAGAAATGTGAACTTTTGGAAAGTTACGTTAGGGTGTAACACAGTGGAGAGTTTTAGGGATGCACCGATGCACATTTCCCTTTAAAACCGGTAATATATTATCAAAAAATGGTACGTAAAAATTATGCTAATTTTGGGGAAAACAGAAACTGCATATGCAGTTTTCGAGAAAAGAGAGGTTGGGAACCATGTGTGCAAAAAGAGGGGGTTTTGAGACACCCGAGCTTCTATTCAATCGTGTCATGCAGTTTAATTGAACTCGCAGAAAGTAGTGCAGTTTTCTATGATGAAGCTTGCAAAAAAATATGATGTGTACCAACTCTGGAACGACCACTACTATTTTGCTACAATACTGTCATATTTTCCAGGATGACGCATCGTCTCATGAAACCAGCAAAAAGGCAGAGCATGATGATGACAAAAAGCGGAAGGACGAAAAGGTCAGTGCTGACGACGCAGAGGGCAGCGAGGGAACAAAAGGAAAAGAGGAAGAAAAGAAGGATAAATCAGTTCCTAAAAAGAAAGTGACCAAAGGCAAGAAAGAAGAAAAAAGTGAACTTTGACAGTGGTGCTAACTTTGTTTTAGAAGGGTTGCAAATTACTGTTTTACAGTAATTTTAAAAATAGAATGATTTCATGGGCTGCTCTTATGGCTAAAGCAAGGCCTTGCAAGAAAGTGGTTTTGAGAAAGCGCTTATTTTTTTGCTGTATATTTCTGTTATCCCATTCAGATTTTCAAAAGCCTTTTAGAATGATCCAATTCCAGCTGAATGCTATATAAAATGGCCGGTCCTAGAATCCTAAATTTGCATAAAATGAATTCAGCTGAAATCCAAAACTGCCCCTATAAATTAGTTAAGCGAAGCCGGAAGC